TTTTTTCTGTTTAGATGGAAAAAGCTATGACGCATTTTTAATGTGTTACAAAAGCAGCTTTGATGGAGGACTGAATGAAGACGACATAAAATACCTGATAAATACTTTGGAAGATCAGTTTGGTTACAGTCTCTGTCTTTATGATCGAGATGTTTTACCTGGTCAAGGTGAGTTTATACAAAACCAGGCATGTTCAATTGGACTAATGTGATATTAACTCTTTGCTCTGCTCTTTGCAGCTGTAGCTGATGCTGTTTTAGAATGTGTAGAGCAGAGCCGAGCTGTGATTCTTGTTCCCAGCTTACCAGATCCTGAACCAGGAAACGGAGTGCTAAGTGCTATTCACGCTTCCCTTGTGGAGCAGAAGACTCACTTGATTATTATAAACTCGGAGCAGACAGAGGCGTCCACATCAGGCTCTTTTCAAGAGGCGTTGGAGCTTCTGAGTAAGATTGGAGATAGTGTCACCTGGAAGGGGAGGCCATCCTCCTCTCATTTCTGGAAGCAGCTACGTTATCACTTACCGGCCCCACAGCAAGTACCAAAAATGCAACTTTTACCCCAAAAAGATAGCAGATTGTAGCTGATCAGTTTGTACTGCAAATACAACATATGTGCTGCTGCACATAGCATATTTTTTAATATTGTTTTATTTTGATATAAAGTGTCAAAATATTCATGAAAATGTATTTCAAAATTCATATTAGTCATTTATTCTTCTAAAACACAACTAAAAACTGGAGATTATTTGTGTATTTTTGCCGCACACAAATCAACCACTTCTTCCTTCATTATATGTTTATATATATTTTTTTTTTTTTTTTTTTTTTTTTTTTTTTTTTAAAGATTGCAATCTTCACTATTTGTACGGTTTCAAACAAAGAGAAACATGGATTAGGATTCTCATGCTATGTCCATCTTTCATTGCTGATTTGCAGTGGTGCCAGCAGCCAGATGTGGTTCAACCTAACAGTATGCTCAAAACAATCCCAGGATTGTAACCTCAAGAACACGTACAGTCAGAGATGTACCACAATAGAAAACTGTGAACCGAGCTGCGATGAAAAAAAAATTATTGCTGAGGGTATTCCTGATATAACCAGCTATGAACCCAAATGGCACAAGGTATTAAAAATCTGCAGCAGTTATGATCTGATAATGACATGAATCTGAATATTTTGGAGCTTTTCTAGCTTTTGAATTTTGAAATATAGAAACACTTTGATTTTTAAATTGTTGCTTCTTTGCCAGGAGAATGTAGAGCATAGAACATATAACAACCTGAGTGAAGAATTACAGGAAATTGGAGTCTACCGCTGCACCCTTTCATTCTTGTATTTTGGTCAAGTATACAATGCCTCCTTCAGAGAAGTACTTTCTGTCCCAGGTAAGACCACCGTCTTTTTATCTTTTTATGTTTAAGTTAATCGAGAGCTGGCTATGCAAACAAAACTTGTGCATTTTTTAGTTGCAGTAAAGAATCAGCTCACCCTTGGAATCAAAGTACCAAGGGACGGTCAAGTGTTTGAAGTAGAACTTGGTGAGTTTCTTTTTTGACTGCAGCATTGAGCAAAAGACATTCAAATTTAAACGGATTATGTTTGATTCTGATTTTAACTTTTTTTTTTAAGGTGCAACAGTGGTGATTAGTTGTAGAGCTGTCATAGGTTCCTGTGACGNAAGTTACATCCATGTTAGAATCCAAATTTTAGAAAAAAATGGTGTCACTTTTTATATAAATAATCTATAAAGTGTATGAGTTGTTTTTTTTTTAAGAATTTTTTGTTGAAATGTACCTTTATGTGTGTGTTTGTTCATTTTTATCGCAAATAAATCTAATATATTTTCTGCATGTTATAGTGTTAAGGTTTTTTTTTTTGTCACTTCTACAATTAAGGTGTCTGTTGTGAAAGGTGGAAGAAAACCACTGAGCTACAAAAAATATTCTGCATATATTTTAAATATATGTGTTTTATATATAAAGACGGCGGCAGACAACATCAGTACTTTTATTCTACATCAAGTCGAAAGTTATTTCAAGATTTAAAAGAGGGCAATTTCTAAGACGGGGACACACACGGGGATGATGCTTGTCAAATTGGTACTACAGCCTTAGAGAAAAGAACATCAGAGTTACAGGAGAGTTAAAAATAATGTATTGTTAAATTCATCCTTATGCTAAATGTATTGATATTCGGAAACATACTTCGTTCTTGTCCTGACTCCTTCTTAACTACCAAACCTATTCGTATAGCATGTTTCCTGTGGGCGCACTTCAACTGTGTATTGTTGATAATTTGAGGTATTTAGATTGAGCCTAAACATTTTACTATAACGCATTGCAGGAAATCAGACTTAAATTAAATAAAAGGTGTATCAATCTGGGCATTACCTCATTACTGTCAATGGCAAAAAAAAAAAAAATAAGACAAAAGGATTGGTACGAAATAAATCTATTCAATTATTTTTTTATGGCTCTGACAGTCACGTCTAGAAGAACAGGTGTTGCTCTTATACTTTTATTAAAGTTGGCATATGAACAAAGCAGGAATAAAGAAATGTGTGATAAACAGAAAACCAGAACTAAAAATTTGGGAGCAAAAAGGGTCATTTTTGTTTTACTGCAAATTATGCAAGTTTGAAAAAAGAAATAATGAAACCACTCCATGGTTTAAATAATGATTTCGTCATTGCAGCCTACGGCGATCAATCAGTAAAAGCACCTCCTCAGGTCATAATGTAGTAATGCTATACTGATATTTGCATCTCAGGGAAGGGTAAGCCCAACTGGTTAATTTCTTATACTGTCTTTGTTTGGCTGGTGGCCGCTTTTGTAAGGTGTCCACAAATGAGCGGCTGGTATGAGGGAAATACGAGGCTACTAAATGGTTATGCTGTTTTCACACTTAATGCAATTCCAGCAACAAAGTTGCTACAATCCAGTGCTGATGCTCACCTGACATATAACCAGAAAGTTGCAAGACAGGCGATAAGCTACACTCCTGTTTCTTTCACTATGGTTTTTGCACTGATTCTGGCCTGATCACTCAGTCCATACACCTTCTCTGCACCACCCGTCTGCAATCAGCTTTGACCGGAGTCACCTGTTTCCAGCACTTTAAAAACCCCATCAGATCAGTCCTCTGTGCCAAATTATCTCGAGCCAACCCGCTACGAATAGTCCAGCATCTAAAGGAGTACCTGACAACCTATCTGTTTCTGACCCGATCTGCCTCCTGACTCCGAGCCTGCCTGACCCCTGTATGATTCTGCCTGCCTGATTACCCTCTCTGCTCTGCCTCTGGATCCCCGGATCTCTGTGTCGTTCTGCCATCCTGCTCCCCTCTCTCTGGATTTCTGACTCGGAAAAGCTAAGCTAAACTGCCTGCCTCCTGGATCTAACTGGTAAACCTCCCTTAATCTGCCCACCTGTCTACCTGCAGCCTGTTTGCCCAGACAGATTCAGCCCCGCTTTCAGATTAACCCTTTCAATAAACCAATCAAAATGTCACCAACCTGTCTTGGTTTATTTGGATCCAGTCTCTGTCTCATTACAACCACATCATCTAATATAGAGGGCTTCCATCTGCCTCTTGCCAGTTTTAATAGAGCACCTGGATTAGACCAAGCAAGTCATGATGCTTTTCAGAGAGTCCAAGAGCTACGGCTGAATTACAGTCGCCACCAATCTTGTTTCAGTCTGACCAAGATGTTATTCTCCTTAATGCTCTGTGCAGATTGCCAACATTGAAATTGTTTTGGGTTTTTATTTTCACAAGTTTGACATAATTGGAAAAGCTTATGCGCCACTTTTTCAGAATCTAAATAACTCAGCACCTGATGGCTTACTACACAGCTTAAAACAGGTGAGAAGACCGTACCATAGTTAGAGTATGACACTGTACCTTGTCCTGCATACAAGAGAATTAAGTGGATCATCTAATGATATTTTCCTGTTTTCCAATGATGTTAGCATACAGTAAATGGGGGAATGAAAGAGTAGTGCATATCAAATGACCAGGTTCTCAGAAGATTAGGACATTTCTTTAAATAGTTTGAAGAAGAGAAAGAATTGTGTGTGGTTCTAGAAAATAAGTAACAGGGTGGTGTTCGTCTTCAAGTTTCACTTCAACTCTCAGTCATTAAGGACATTGGTATTTACTCTTTGGGAGAGAGGAAGGCAGGAGGCAGACTGTTCACTAACAATGCTGCTGGACACCATCAGAATGATCCTTCTTCTTTTCTTCCTTTTTACTGGTAAGTTAGTGATGCCTTTGTTTGTTTACTCACACTCACTATTAAAATTGAGGGTTATGTGTGGAATGACTTTGTATCATGTGATACATAAGAGTACACCATAAACAAGACTTGAAAACAAAAAAACTACCTAAAGTGCTGTGATTATTGCACAGATAAATGAAGTTCTTTACTGTAAGGAATGAAGACACTTGGAGATGAGCGGCAAAAAAACATTAATAGATTCATGTAAAGAATTCAAATATGAAGATAAAATAATTAATTGCAGTCATATCATTAGTGCATGGTTATATATCTTATGTGATAGATTTCTGTTATCATTCACATGATAATTAATATTCTTTATTCAAATATATATAATGAGAGGTAATAGTAACAGTAGAAATATTATTTACAAGCACCTTAGTTCGATGCCTTTTAAAGTCTTGAAAAGCTGCCTAAAAATTTTTGACACATATTTGACATCTATTTTTGATATCTTTAGCAACGTCTTTGCAAATAATTTGAGAGGTCTTTAGATCTGTAAGGAAAATTCTGCAAGTTTCATAAGATATAAGTACTTTCAGTAACGTGACCCTTCGTAGAAATCAGGATGTGGTTAAGCCCCAACTTCCTCTAAGGACACTTGCCAAGGACAGCGTAGCTGACAAAACTGCCATCATGAGGCAGTCTTATTATTGCTTGCTTCAAGCTTATGAAACCATTGTAGGAAAAAAAAAAAACAGATTAGAAAATTAGTCAGATAGTTCTTTTAGTTCTTTAATCCTTAATGTGTTACTATTTTTGCTATGTAGCCTGCTATATGAGCACAGAAGGGCCATCAAGATGCTGTATTAATGACATTTTTCATCTTTACTCTGTTTATTTTCAACTTCATTGCCACTTTTGAGACTAAGATAATTATTTTCTGTTTTGCCAACAAACTTTTGCCCAAACAAAAGTCATTCTAAGCCAAAACGAATAAGTGTCTGAAAAGAACAAGAATGTCTGTCTTACCTTGTTGATGTTGTTCTTGTAGAAAACGAAGATCATATCAATAGTTACATGTACTGGTTGTACAATTGATTCAATAGACAATTTATACTCAAATGCTAGTTTCATGACAAAAAAAAGGAAAGATTGCAGATTATATTTACAGAAATTGTGTTTGATGAACTAAAAATAACAGCTTTATAAAAAGTGTCACAGAAAAGCTATTCTACTACCCATTTTAAAGCTAGTATTGCACCAATACCTACTGCCACAGGAAGTTAGAAATGTTGACATTTAAAAATATAAAACTATAAGCTGTGGATTAAAGTCAAAATAGTTCAAAAGAAATGTGGCTTTACTTACTTTTCTCATGTCCGGACATAATAAGAAGTTAATAAGATAAGATAATGATCTATATCTTGAGTAAATGATCATATATGTTCCCTCAAGTTCCTTGTTATTTTTTAAAGGTCTAAACTGAGGTCAAGCCCCTCGACAATTTATCAAGGCTATAGCTGGCTTGTTATGAACAAGGAAGTACATGGGAGAGATTGTTGCCACTTTAAGATTTTTTTGCCTGATTTTACTCTCAGGTTTTTTGTCAAATCTGACATAGGTTGTGTTAAATGACTTCCCACTAAACTGAAATGTGTTGGAGGCAGCCAATGACAAACAGGGGTTTGATTAGCTGAACAAATTTCTCCTTTAATTGTAAATATACTTCAGCCAAGGTTGCCCTTTGTCACCGATTCTGTTCATAACTTTTAAGGACAGAATCTGTAGGCGCAGCCAAGATGTTAAGGGTATCCGATTTGGTGGCCTTAGGATCACGTCTCTGTTATTCACAGATGATGTGGTTCTATTGGCTTCATCAGGGCGTGGTCTATAGCTCTCACTGGAGCTGTTTGCAGCCCAGTGTGAGGATCAGTGCCTCAAAATCCGAGACCATGGTCTTGGGTGTTACCTATTGGCTGATTTATTGATTGACTGATAAAAATGTACTAATGATATTAGGAAATGAGTCTTATTCTAAAACTTTGCGCTAAAAAGAGGCATCAAAATTATCAAGAAAATACTTAAAAGTATCCTAAAAGAGCAAAGGACAGAAAAAAAAACAAACACTAAATTTATGGAATTAAATTAACCATGCTCTTAAATTTGTTTAAACGTTTCTTAAAAGCCTGACTCTTTGTCCTGGGGATGAGGTGTTGGACACAGACGAGTAAACATACAGCTAATATAAACACATATGGATGTATTTAAGTTGAAAAAACAACTAAAGGTTATTTCTGAAGACCACCATGACAGCTGTTAAACATCAACAACAGTATAAAATCAGATTAACCCATGCCCTGAGATGTTTGACTTTTGTTTATTTTGGCAGATGGAAAAAAGCAGTTTTTGTTGTGAGGTGCTCTTAACTTGATGGACCGCAGTGTAAAGCCAAAGAGGAGAGTCTGAAACAGCCTGTTTCCAGGGAGAAGGAGTGAGCTGTAATCTTAACAAATTACCTCTGAGTTCTTGAACTACCGTTCCTGAAGAGAAGGAAGATTGCAGCCAGTCATCTTCTCTCTGCTGAGCCAATAATATTCAGCTGCCTGCTCTTGTCCCAGGTTATAGCAGCAGTGTACCAGATGGTGATGGAAGATGAGAGGATGGACTCAGTATTGGCAGACTAGGACTGCATTCTCACTGCCTTGAACAGAATGGCATATGACATAACCATAGAACAAGGGGCATAAATCAGAAAAATAACAAGCATTGAGTAAAGAAACTAACAAAAAAAACTGTAAATAAAATTGTTTCACTCTTTTTGCAGGTGTTTGTCCAGTGACACCCAGTAAGATATATGTCAATGTCGGGGAGCTAGTGACACTGAATTGCGGAGTGTGCAATTATGATGCTACTGTTATTCTCTGGAAAAAGGAGAATGACCAGAAGACGCTTCTGTACAGCAACATGTCAACATCTGAGCAGCAGAAGCTTGGTTTGATTTTTTTTCAGACACACCTTGTGATTCTCAATGCGTCTGTAAACCACCAAGGGAATTACTCATGCAGTCCTTCAAGGTACAGTCAGATTTCCGATTTAATTGTGTTTAATTTGTTATAAAAAATAATCGTCAACTAATTTAGTAATCGATTAATCATTAACTAAAGAATAGAGACTTTAAAACATGTCTTTAACTGTCAAATTGACCAGCTTAAAGCAGTACTGTAATTATATCAAAGTTGCATTTACAATAAAAAAAAAAAAAATGCAAAAAAATTTTTTTCATCTCTCAATAGGCTCTAGCCAGAACTCTTTAAGTGGAAAAGTTTTAGTTTCACCTGGTTTCATTTTGTAAAAAAAAAATCTTCTTTAAGGAACCTTTAAGGAAAGAGAAACATATTTGTATCAGGATTTTCATGCTATGTTCATCTTTCATTTCGGATTTGCAGTGGTGCCATCAGCCAGATGTGGTTCAACCTAACAGTATGCTCAAAACAATCCCAGGAATGTAACTTCAGGAACACATACAGTCAAATATGTCCCACAATAGAAAAATGTGAACCGAGCTGTGATGAAAAAAAAATAATTGCTGAGGGTATTCCTGATATAACCAGCTATGAACCCAAATGGAACAAGGTATTAAAATCTGCAGCAGTTATGATCTGATAATAACATGAATCTGAAGATTTTAGAGCTTTTCTAGCTTTTGAATTTTGAAATATAGAAACACTTTGATTTTAAAATGGCTTCTTTTCCAGGAGAACGTAGAGCATAGAACATATAACAACCTGAGTGAAGAATTACAGGAAATTGGAGTCTACCGCTGCACCCTTTCATTCTTGTATTTTGGTCAAGTATACAATGCCTCCTTCAGAGAAGTACTTTCTGTCCCAGGTAAGACCACCGTCTTTTTATCTTTTTATGTTTAAGTTAATCGAGAGCTGGCTATGCAAACAAAACTTGTGCATTTTTTAGTTGCAGTAAAGAATCAGCTCACCCTTGGAATCAAAGTACCAAGGGACGGTCAAGTGTTTGAAGTAGAACTTGGTGAGTTTCTTTTTTGACTGCAGCATTGAGCAAAAGACATTCAAATTTAAACGGATTATGTTTGATTCTGATTTTAACTTTTTTTTTTAAGGTGCAACAGTGGTGATTAGTTGTAGAGCTGTCATAGGTTCCTGTGACGATTCACTGCTCTGGTTTAGAGAATACGACTTTGTTGAAACAACTGACGATAACAATAAGTTTCGGGTTTTCTACAATAATACGTGGTAAGAGCAAAATTTGCATTTTTGAATGTAGCCAATATTATTACACAGACACAATACTGGCTTATCCATGTCCACAATTTTCTGTGCTTTTATTTTTGGTATATCAGTGAAGATAAATCAGAAATCCGTCATATGAATGCATCTTTAGTCTTCAGAGAAGTATTGGAGGAAGATCTGCATACAAATTTTAGCTGTAAACTTGAAAGTGTTGCATTCAGCCAGTTTGTCACGATCACCCTAAAAAAAAAAGGTGAGAAAATTTAAAACAAAATTTATTTTACCTCATAAAATGTGTGATATTGCTGTAATATTTTGCTGTTGTCAATTGTTCCTCTGCAGTCGGACCCTCATACTTCATCCTAACTATGTGCACAGTCTGCATCGTGGTGTTGATCACTGTGACCGTTGTTACATATGTGAAGTTTAGAATCGATGTCACGCTTTTCCTGAGAGACAAATTTGGTTTCAAAGGATGCCAGAGTTACACCTCAGGTCAGTCTTTCTTCCATGAAATAGTACATTTCTGCAAGGTTTTCAGCTAAATGTATCTACACCGGGTTGAAAAATATACCCAAAGTCTCAAAGGGGGGCAGCAATTTATGTTTTTCTTTTGGAAATCCTGTTGAGATTTCTCTCTTTCTCTCACTGATGCCACTTACCCTAATCTTTAATTATATTCTTGTTTATTAGTGAAAGTTTGGTTTAGTTTGCACTTTACATTTTGGGTTACCAATACAGATTTCAGGCCTGGTTTTTTTTACAGCACAGCAAATTTTGACAACACAAGTTTACTCTTCCAAGCACAAACAAAACCTTTAAAACAACAAAAATTAGCTTAGTTAAAGCTAAATTCATCAGCTAACTCAGCCAATAATTTTCCTGGACAGTTCACTGTCAGGGATGACAAGCTTGGCTCTTCTTATATGTAAAGGCTGTGCTCCATGTTCTGCTCTTCTCCTCCGACTATAAGCTGTGCAACCAGCTTTTTCTTATGAGCATCTTGTTACACGTTTTACACATAATTTATCAGATGCTTAAATTGGAGACATTTGCTAGGACAGCCGTTGCAGGGTACAGGGATGCTTCTCCACCTTTTTGTGAAAAAACGTAGTATATTGCTGTGCACAGCCTACAGCTGTAATCACAGGCTCCATGTCTGAAGTGAACATCATTGCTCATGTAGCCAATTTGTTGTAAACTCTGTAGTCATAGATTGTTACAGTATTTTGAAATGCCAAAAAGGCATTTAGCGTAATATAACTGTTATAGAAAATAATTGTATTGTGATATGGATATTAAATTATTGTCCTGCCCTACTCTAGGCTGATTCGTAAATTTTACTTGTGCATTACTTTTATCAGCAGCACAAATTTGTTGCTAGTTGGCCGAAAATGTTTAACTTTTAACACAGCTTTCAAAACAAAGGGGAAAGTTTTGGAAAGATGTGAATGACAAAAGCAAAGGAGAACCAGCAAGTCTCTGATAAAGCTTAAATTTCATTTATTCAGGTGGTATTGCATGTTAATGTGTACCTAAATAATTGTTTGATTGGCTTTACAGAAGTAACTTTTTTTCTGTTTAGATGGAAAAAGCTATGACGCATTTTTAATGTGTTACAAAAGCAGCTTTGATGGAGGACTGAATGAAGACGACATAAAATACCTGATAAATACTTTGGAAGATCAGTTTGGTTACAGTCTCTGTCTTTATGATCGAGATGTTTTACCTGGTCAAGGTGAGTTTATACAAAATCAGGCATGTTCAATAGGACTAATGTGATATTAACTCTTTGCTCTGCTCTTTGCAGCTGTAGCTGATGCTGTTTTAGAATGTGTAGAGCAGAGCCGAGCTGTGATTCTTGTTCCCAGCTTACCAGATCCTGAACCAGGAAACAACGTGCTAAGTGCTATTCATGCTTTCCTTGTGGAGCAGAAGACTCACTTGATTTTTATAAACACGGGGGAGGCAGAGGCGTCCACATCAGGCTCTTTTCAAGAGGCTTTACAGCTTCTCAGTAAGGAGGGAGATAGTGTCACCTGGAAAGGGAGGTCATCCTCCTCTCACTTCTGGAAGCAGCTACGTTATCACTTATCAGCCCCACAGCAAGTACCAAAAATGCAACTTTTACCTCAAGAGTGCTAAATTGAAACCAGATTTTATCTAACCAGTTTATACTGCAAATAATTAATTCCTACTAATTGGTGCAATTTGAATATGGTAACATCATGCTTATCTTTTTTCTTCAAATGATCTAATGAAGGACTTGAACTATAAGAAAATTATGTTGGTCAAGCTCAGCATAAAATGCTGTCCAGCTTTTATCAAGTCCACCCCGATACACAACATTCTTATAAAAGCCATTTAGATGAGCAATTTTTTCAATTGATTGAATTATTTGATCTAAGCACTGTCACTATTGGACTATACAGGGGGGGAAAGCTGTACTGGGGGGATGCCACAGTCGTTTCTGATAAAAAAGACTGAACTGGACAGTGGAGCTACCTCAACTTCATACACAATATTTGTATTGTTTTTTAACTCCAAATCTTTTTTGTATATTGTCATTTGAAATTTCAACAAATGCTCAAATACTCTTAAAGAGTTAAATTATAAAACGTTTTATAAATTATTGAAAACGAAGGACAAAATAGAAATTTCCATCTCAGCCCACTGCTGATTTGTGCTGTTTTAAGAAGATGTTGTAGGCATTCCATGAGGCCCCTGAGGGCACCTTGCCTATGGGCACCATGTTGATGACCCCTGATCTATGGGAATCTTGTCCGGGAGAGTAGAATTAGTAATAACATGTTATTTACACAGGAACAAGAGGAAAATTAGCAAGATCCGCTTAGAACCAGCAAAACCAATTCAGAGTGTGCAAAAGTGAAACAGCATTATTGAGTCAGGGAGCACATAAGACTGGATAGCATTTTGCATGACTGAATAAATGTATGCTTGTTTTTTCTCAACAAAATTAATTATCCTCTTCAGATAATACTGCTGCCTATTTTTCACTATTTCATGATGGATATTTTTCACTCTGTTGCATTACAACCCTTTTGATACATAACCGTGGGCCATGTGTAAATATTTTCTTGCCTGAAAGATTAAAACATTTTGATCTTGGACTAGAAATCTTTGGGTATTATCAAAATGCTATATACAGATGTTATAAAAATTATTGTTTCAAGTATTTATTATTATTGTTAATTTTTATTCATGATTATTAATTTAATTTTAATTTTTATTACTATTAGTGGTGTAGTAATCAAAGTAGATGAAGTTGTCACAGTAGGGTGGAGGTTTAAAGGAGAACCCAAATGCAGAGACTGAAGTTGAAGGTGGGCACTTGCAGATTTAACACAAAAAGGGTAACAGAAGCAAAAATCCAAAAACATAAATCCACAAAATCAAAAAATACTGAAACCTAGGAATACTCACAACAAGGGGGAAAGAAATGACGACAAACCAGCAACAATGAATGAAAAGGAGGTGCATATCTGGGAGAGAGAAACAAAGACCAGGCTAATCAGCAGATTGGGAGCAGGTGTGAACTGAGGAGTCTGGAAGGGAGCTAGGAAAAGGAGACTGACACAAGAGGGGAACAGGGGGCAAACAAGACACACCTAAGAACTCAAATACAATAAAAAATAACTAGAATAACATCAAATAAAATAAGACCAACAAAAACTCAAAGATAAAACTTAAACAGAACCAAAACCATGACAGAAGTAGTATTGGTGCTTCTGTAGCAAAGTAAACTTTCTCCAGAATTACAATATAAAAGGGATAAGGCAAGAATAGTGAACTTCACAGTTCCTATATATCTGATTTACTAAGTTCCTGGCAGCCAAGCAATTATGATGTACAGTATGTATGACTTTGATGTATACAGTTTCACAGTTTATAAGCAGCAACTGAAGAGATACACATCAAATAGAAAATTGTAGCAACAAAATGATCTCCAAATGTATACAGAATCATGATATTGATGTAAACGCCCCATCTTTCATGGAATTTGCTTTTATGAATAGGCTATTTATGATATGGAAACATATGTTTAATGATATACAAGGCTTCAGGGTTTGTTCCTTTTTGTGTTGTTTTTGTGATTTTGTGAATCTTTCAATCAGTAATTTTCCTTTACATATGTGTGTGGTGATGTGTTCCTGCTAGAAATATGGGGGTATATTTAAGTCTTTATAATGTTTCATAAAACATTACTTTGAGCAACATTAAGGTATAATTAAGCTAAATGCAGTAGCACACAGTGCCCCTTGACATCTATACAAGTGACGTCATGGTTTTGGTTTTGTTCAAGTTTCATCTCTGAGTTTTTATTGGTCTTATTTCCATTTTATGTGTTCTAGGTATTTTTGATTGTATTTGAATTCTTGGATATNTATTCTTCTAAAACACAACTAAAAACTGGAGATTATTTGTGTATTTTTGCCGCACACAAATCAACCATTTCTTCCTTCATTATATGTTTATATATTTTTTTTTTCTGTTCTAATTAAGATAAATGTTTTCATTTATGTCTCATTGTATAATTTAGCAACTTCTTACATATATTTGCTGTAATCATTCATTTATTAGCACAATTTTATTTATTCTAGTATTTTTGATTATTGCATTTTAAAGTTAGATCAATTTGACTGTATGACTGTAAAGTGCCTGAAGACAATGTGTTGTGAATTGATTCTATAGAAATAAACTGAATTGAAATTGAATTAACATAATCTATTCGGAGTTGGTAATTCATAGTATAAAGCACACCAAAAAGTTTATTAAATTAATTCCAACCTCTCCCTTCCTTTGGACAAAATGAAAGACGGAGGGGACATAAGATTTGTTGAAGTCAGTGAAGGATCGGCTAGAAGCCTGGTGAGGAAATGACAGAAGAAGGAACTAGTATTGGAAAATGGTAAAACACAGTAATAAGCCCTAAGAAGCTGTGGGTTACAAAGATTTTAAACAACAATGTAAACTCTCTGTAACTCATGGATTCAAGGGACTTCTTGCTTTTATAAAACAGTTACTGTACATATGGCCCATCAAATAAAAAAATAAATAAACATACGCACACAAAAAATGCTTGGTAATAATGAAGCAATGTGTTAGAACTTGTGCTTGTCAATTGGCAATGTTTGGAAATTGGCCAATTATCATGTGATTGGCCCTAACCAGTAACCATTTCAAGCACCATTGGCTTTTTGATGAGTTTTTCAATGAGGGGAAATGAATATTTATCATGTGCGTTTTCCGTGTTTGATGAAGCCTAGGCGGAAGTTCTACTGAAGAAACTATGTCTGCCGCAGGTTATTTTAAAAGGTCTTCAAATTCATGACTCAGCCCTCTACCTAGCCAAATAGCAAGCAGTGGCTGCAATATGTCTGATTTTCCCTCAGATGACCCTAAATCTACTCACCTCCATCACCTTCACCCCATCATGTGACTATTCCATGGTGCTTCTTCTCCTTTGTCCCTCCTTGACGAATGTAGTTAAAGTCCCTGCATTCCCTGTCACATCTCAACCTGTCCAGCAGAAGACCGCCATGTTGAGCCTCGTTCTGCCAGAGGTTTCTTCCCAAAGGGGAGTTTTTGCTCTCCACTGTCACTTCATGCTTGTTCATCATGGAAAGGTTCTCTCAAACCTGTGTTTATCCAAGCTGGTTATCTATTTCCGGGTCTTGAGTGAAGCACTAGTATCAGATTACACTATCTACTGGATCTCACCAATAGAGCTCAAGCAGATCTCGCCAACCAGCAGTCTATGGACTGCACCAACTTCATCTATCTCCACTCCACCACCAGTTTTAGGCCTGGGGGGAAACATCCCTGTTCTCATACACCTGCTTATGCATATTAAAATAAAATTCAGCAGTAACTATTCCTGCCGTGGTCTGAGCACCAAAGTCTTAAAATAATTGTATCAATAAGATTCCTCTAATTGTCTCATTCTTTCCATGTGAGTTTTTCAGATTGAGTTTAGGTCAGAGGGCCCCTAACAGGGAGAAGAATCACCCGGACAACAGAGGTAAGGTGAGATGGTGCTCTGGAGCTCAGATAGCAGCGGTGAGAAATCAGTGCGAAAACACCAGCTGAGAGAGTATCAGATAATGGACAAGGCGGTCAGCCATTTCCATTCTGGAGCTACAGTAAGGATAGAGGCAGCAGGTTGCCAGTGCTAACTTAGGATGAGAGTGGAGGAGTATAGGGGTAGACCGGAGAGGTCTGCCAAGAAAAAGCTCTAAAAGTGTTGTAATTCTGCATTTCTTTTATCAATTTTATAGTAGGTACTGTAGCATTTCTATTTTTGCCATTAAGTATTTATTTTCTGACTGCTATTCCTACATCCGCGTTTTATAAGAAAAATTAATAAAAAGGATCCATGAATCCTGCTAAACTTTTAAAATGTTATTTTTAATGCTTTCGCTACTTTATAATGATTTTCATGCATAGTTGCTACACATCTTTAAATCATTGGTATTGTCCTCAGTTGTTGTGCTGTTTTTACCTACTTTTACAATAAAAAAATATTTTTATTTTTTAAACATATTTTAATGACAAAGGGACATTAGCAAAATAGGTAGCTCTTGAAATACAACAATTCAGGTCGGTCAGGAATGGACCTTCTGTCTGATCAACATAGAAAAATATTTTTAGATATTTATAGGTTGTAAAGATGGACCCAACTTCAGAGCCCTTAAGTCTCTGTAGTTGAGACATAAATATGGCTGAAATAATAGCCCTCTACTCTCTCAGTAAATGCATTTTTCACCTTCCTCATCTCCATCATCTTAGATTGGTAAGAAGCCCACTGTGTAGCCTGGTTAGTTATTTAATTTAAGCGTTTACTATTGCTGACTCTGTTGATATTCTCCAAGCACACAACAACAAAGAGTAACAGACCATCACGTGGGCATAGGTTTGCATAGGGACCATAGGGACATGTCCCTACCAAAAATTTGGACAGATCTACTTGTCCCTACCAACAATTACCTTTGAAGAACATGTTTAGAATTTACAATACAGCATTGTTGCAGCAGTAGAGGAGTTCTGGATGGAGAATATTGACAGACGAAAACATGTTTTACCTAAAATGCTTAATGTTTTTTTTTTTTTTTTACAATTTTGGTATAATTCCTGCTCTAATTGGGTTGTTCTGTGAGCTAAAGACATGTTTTAGAGTCTCTATACTCCAGTTAACGATTGATTAATTAATTACTAAATTTAAAATAAATGAAATGGGCTACAGAACTACAGCCTAGATGTACAACTTGTATAGTGAAGTTAATATTTTAAATGCTCAGTGTCAGTTCCTCCTATAGATCCAGTGCTCATGTAAATACAATACATTAAAAAGGCATCCCATAAATCTATTATTTCGCTTTGTTTCATGATACAAAGAGAACATTTGAAAGATAAGAGTGGGGTTTACCTCTGTTTACCTCTGCACAATTCTATATCTTCAAAATAAAAAAAGTATAAATCCACATGTAACAGACCTATTTAGACTTTATTTGCTTAAAT